TAAAAAATTATCCCAAATAAATAGTTCACCAATGGCACTACCAGATATCTTAAGAAATATTGGGACAGCTTTAGATCAGATTGAAGGATATATCAATGGCAATATATCATTTGACCCAAGAAATACTCTGAACGGAATACGGATCTTAATAACAACTATCTGAGAATATATGCAAAGGCATGCTCAGGACAATGTTAACTTACAAGGTTTGCTCAATGCATCTAATGGGCAAATCAATAGGATTATAAATGATATGACAAATCTTAGAAATGATTGTCTTCGAAGAGCGCGAATGATGGAGCAAGCATGGAGGGATAAAAGATAAACCCGACAACAAAGAGATGATGAAATCAATAATCTGAGATACGGTATGTGAAAATGTTTATGAAAAATGTTGGTGGAAAAGAAGATATACTGCATATACTCAACAGGCTCAGAATTTAAAAAGATATTATCGTCAAAGTAGAAATGATATAGGATTATTAGAATATAATCGAGATCGAGTATATAATCGATATGAAAAATGGAAGGCTAAGGAATTAAATTCGAGGCAAATTATTTTGAATTTACAAAACAATCTTCCAGGAAAATATGACTAATATACAAAATGTTATGACATCAATAGCTCCACTTTTAGCGCAAATTTCCCAATATGAGAAGCAAGAACCGCCAGATACTTATCACAATAAAGTCATGTAAGCAATTAACTATGGGCATAATTTAGGAGTAGTAGGTTTTAATGATGCTATGAAAGTTACTGTATTATCAGGCAAAATGGGAGGAAGGTTCGTCTCACCAAATCTATTCAACAATGATGCGGGAAATGCTATCAATACACCAGATTTATTCCAAGCATAGCTTAGAGACAAATATCGTGAAGTAAAAATAGGTACAGCACAGGCTTCTATGAAAGCGCTCATATATGAAAAATTTAATACTATAGATACTTCAGAAACATATGAAAAAAGAATTCGACCACATGTGGATGACATGCCATATGCAGATGCATTAACTATTCTTTTAAACCATCTACCAGAAAATTTGAAAATAAGGATAAGAATATCAAATCCTGTAGATCTAAATGTATTTTTTACCGAACTTAAAAACAAATGGTTAGAGGCTGGAGGACCTTTTATGACCACGCAAGCTATACAGTAAATAGCCCTCTCCTCCCAGGCTTTAACTATACAACCACAAAAAGATGATTTTAAAATTCAGTTAGCAAGAAATTTGTCTTATACAGTAATAACATCAGACAATATAACATTAGAAAAATTTATCTATGAAAAGCTTCAAAAAAGATTAGGCGCTAAAACAGCACATGTTAGAAAGAGTCCTTTTATGCCCAAAAGTACCTATGCCACAAAGAAAGTTGTTAGAAAGGTAGTACCAAAAGCATCTTCAAAGCAAACTCGACACTGCTCAGCATACAGAAAGGCTAGTCATACAAAGGTTAATTGTCCTAAAGGCAAGCGGACTAAAAAAGTTAATTATGTATACTAAAATGAGGTAGAAGATCCTGAAGCCTCTGAAGAAGTATACATATTGGAAGAGGTAGAGGATTCCGATGAAGAGGAAATTGAAGATGATGATATTGAATATGTTGATGAAAATGATGATGAATTTCGAAATTGCTATGCATCAAAAAAAAAGTGATGCGAAGTGGAGTACCTATGAAAAAGAAGTCCCTTACTTCCAAATCTCATGCTGAAAGTGCTAAAACAAAGAGGCATCGGGCAATATAACAATGGTTATATAACAAATGAAAAAAATAGCCTTAAAATCTATTGTATCATCAGTAGTCCCACATTGTCCTAAAGAGATTCTTGTAGAAATTGCGAAATTTCTTAATATGATATATCTCAAATTAAAAGGCCATTGCTTGAATACTGTTATGCCAAATGATACCGTTAAAAGAAGGGAGCTAGCATGGGAGAATGTTAATAGCTATATTCAAGATGTTTTGTTACCACTATTACAAGCTGTAAATACCAAGCAGAAGTCTCTTCTACAAGTCTCAGATGATAAAGAATCGATCTACAACCCAAATGAAGGGGACCTGGCAGATTTTACTAAAATAGTTGTTAGCTATTCAGACACTTCACAAGCGCTTCGCAAGGAAATTAATACTACATCCTCTAGCCAGTCAGAGAACCCCTCTGACTCAGTCTGATTAGACTATGCTATCAAGGCCTATGTTTAGCGTATTTAGCAGAAAAAAAAAGTGACATATAAAGCACCTCACGGCTGATTCCTATATATTGGCCTAAGCCATTAGAGATAAATTTTCTCCAAATAAAGGATGCTGACAATGTTGCAACTATTTATTGTAAGATAAGAGGTTTAGAAATACCTTATGCAATAATTGATACAGGATCAGATTCTTCTATATTTTCAGTTAATATTGCAGAATTAGTTGAAGAGCTTTTGGGTATCAAAATTAATAAGGAAAAGATCCATACGCTTAATGGAGTTGCAAGCAAATCCCTATCCATTGGCACTATGAATAATGTTCCTATAACAATTGGTTCTGAAAAAAATACAGCCTCTATAACAGATGAATTTTCTGTTGTGCCTGCAGAAAAAAATGAGAATGAAAATGATAAATCTTTAGTAATTCTTGGAACGCAATGGTAATATTGGACCAGATGGGAACCTTTAATAAAAGGAGAATTTAAGACCACATGTAATGGAAAAACTATCACCATCCCTTATCTGTTCACAAATCACAGCGTAATGTCTTCACTGTAGGGAAGGAGCCAGAAGAATGGTTTCCTGTAGAGTCAAAAAAAAACTAGATGATTGGACATGTATGTATTGTGAAAAGGAATTCAGATATCCCTCTATTCTTAAAAGACACTTGAAGTTAAAAAATATGTGTAGTGAGCGGTC